TTTGTGATTGTAGCCTTTACCAGGTTACTTTTCGGTCTTTGTGTGCGTCGGGCTAATCGGTCTACTCCGCTCCTGTAAGTTATCAGGTGGGAGGTTCCTGATTTTCCCTTATCGGCCTTGACCTTTTTGTCCTTGTCATGGTGTGAAATCTTATCCTCTATATATATATATATATATATATATATATATATATATATATATATATATATATATATATATATATATATATAAAGAATACAAATCATATGGCGAATAACAACCCTCTCAAGCGTACTGGATCCACCAAGGGATCACGTTTGTCAGGGATTAATTAAAATAGATGCAATAAACTGACGACGAACAGTACGAAACTAGTAACTAACTAGCCTAAGCGCTTTCGACTCTTAATGAGTCTTTTTCAAAGGCAAATACAAAACATAGTTACGACAAACAAATAAACACAAAAACGTTGCGTTTGTAAACCTCTACATTTCTATCTTCACATGTGCTAAAACTATAAATACAACCAGCTTGTATAGACTAGTTGCGGAAACTGAAAACGTTGTATAATTCCCTAAACGTCTACAAGCCAAAGCGACATCTATTTTTATTTTGTGTAAATATGTAACGCAGATTATATCCCGGATATTTGGTTCTATACCGGTTATTCTTATAGTAAAAATTGAAGGATAAGAAGATTTAGAAAATGTTAAATTCTACTAGTGCATAGTTTTCATTTCTAGTCTTCTTGGTTTAGACCGCTTGGTTTCAATGTTCTAAGGCGGCGTATCCAGTATGATTCCTTTTCCTTCCTGGTTTCGGAACTCCAGCTGTGGTTGTTGGCAATAGCGATAAGTATTATATCACTGAAAGTGTGGCCAGGGGAGGAGAAGTGTTCTGCGACCGGGCTTCTGTACAGCTTTTTTGTCATCCAATCAGATCTATGAAGGTTTATCCTTATGTGTAGCTTTTCAGTTTCTCCCACGTACTGAAGGCCACAGATCTTACATGTGATGAGATAAATCACATTCTCTGTTTTGCACGTTTTGTTTGGACCATGTATGTTTTGTTTTTCTTTAGTCACTGTGCTAGTGAATGTCTTGGTCTCTATCATATGTTGACAGGTTTTGCATCTTTTATCGCCACAGGGTCCAGATTGACTAGGTTGGTTTTGACTAGCGATTGTTGTTAGCTTGGCCCTGTGGCGATAAAAGATGCAAAACCTGTCAACATATGATAGAGACCAAGACATTCACTAGCACAGTGACTAAAGAAAAACTAAACATACATGGTCCAAACAAAACGTGCAAAACAGAGAATGTGATTTATCTCATCACATGTAAGATCTGTGGCCTTCAGTACGTGGGAGAAACTGAAAAGCTACACATAAGGATAAACCTTCATAGATCTGATTGGATGACAAAAAAGCTGTACAGAAGCCCGGTCGCAGAACACTTCTCCTCCCCTGGCCACACTTTCAGTGATATAATACTTATCGCTATTGCCAACAACCACAGCTGGAGTTCCGAAACCAGGAAGGAAAAGGAATCATACTGGATACGCCGCCTTAGAACATTGAAACCAAGCGGTCTAAACCAAGAAGACTAGAAAATGAAAACTATGCACTAGTAGAATTTAACATTTTCTAAATCTTCTTATCCTTCAATTTTTACTATAAGAATAACCGGTATAGAACCAAATATCCGGGACATAATCTGCGTTACATATGTACACAAAATAAAAATAGATGTCGCTTTGGCTTGTAGACTTTTAGGGAATTATACAACGTTTTCAGTTTCCGCAACTAGTCTATACAAGCTGGTTGTATTTATAGTTTTAGCACATGTGAAGATAGAAATGTAGAGGTTTACAAACGCAACGTTTTTGTGTTTATTTGTTTGTCGTAACTATGTTTTGTATTTGCCTTTGAAAAAGACTCATTAAGAGTCGAAAGCGCTTAGGCTAGTTAGTTACTAGTTTCGTACTGTTCGTCGTCAGTTTATTGCATCTATATATATATATATATATATATATATATATATATATATATATATATATATATATATATATATATATATATATATATATATATATATATATATAGTACTTATAGGAGTCAAGATCCACCAAGATTTTTGCTAGTATGAGTCCTAGCGCCTGTTTTATGGTATGGACTAGGTATGCTGCTTGCAGTTGTATATGTTTGTATGCGGGGATGGGTTATTAGGGTTCCGATACAGGCTTATTGAATCCCTTTATTTGATACTGATGATTTGTTCTCTTTGATGGTTTGTTTCAGGCATCTCTTTTGATTCTTCTTTATTCTTGCATTTTTGATTTAGTAATATTGGATGATTCAAAATTATAAGGTTGTTGTCTCGTCGGTTTTGATTGGATGATAAAAGCCGAATTTTCAATCCTATTCTAGTTCAATTTTGTTTTCTATTTAGGTTTTATAATAAAATTATGTTTTATGGTATTTCATTCTTATTATGTGCTTAGTTGTAGTATTATAGATGGTTATCAATACTAATTAGAGTATATATAGTTATTATAAGGAAAATTAAAATACAAATACAGTATATGTATGTTATAAATAGTTATGATTATTGTTATTATTTAATTATGCTTATAACTAAGGCTACATTGACTAAAGGTAAGGAGTAATAATTCATAGGGTTCTTATTACAAGGGATCTAAATATTCGTTTTAGTTTTATATTTTATAATATTGGATGCTTCAGATTTTAATTATTCCTCGTTAATTTAGAAAATAGTGTACATTTATTAGTAGTTATGTGGGAGCGTTTGTACTAAAGTTGCGTTTCTTGTGTACGTCATTCGAGTGCTAAATTTTGATTGGTTGGTATAGATTTTAGTTTTCAATCCTTCTTTTAGCTCAAGATTGTATGTTTTCTTTTGTGATTAAGCGCGGCTATTATCGGTCAATCAGATGCAGCCTTAGTTTAGGATTTACGTATTTCGTGTTATCTGATTTGTAAGCTGGTATAATATTAACCCGGTATGTTGAGAGGAGAATTTAACTGTTGGCTAGAGTTTAAATTTATATTTATATTTTTCAATAAATATTTTAATGTAAATTTATGTAGGGGTTGTATGATTAAGTATTTATAATATATTGTTTGATGTTATTTGTTATGTAGTAGTACCACTGTTCAGTATATATTTTTGGCTGCCCACGTGTTTTCCCCGTCAGGACAAAGGAACAAAGGAATTTTTCGTGAAAACAAAGGAACAAAGGAAATTTTAATTAATAGTTTTGGTTTTTATTCAATAGGTTAAAAAATTTTAAAATTTGAAAAAGAGGGTATATTTACATCTTTGGTTGAAGTAAGAGTTGTTTGGGGTGGTAAAATTCAGTACTAGTTGGCTTTAACTATTGTATAGCGACAATTAATTTAGAGTTTTGAGGTAAAGTAGATTTTAATTAGACTTTTATAAATTCAGTAGTTTTGAGTAGATTTAAGTAGATTTTACTTTACCTTAGCTTTTCCTAGTGTAGTATCCTTAATGTGAAGTGAATCATCCAATATTATCCTTAAAGCCTGGGAGCCCAGAAAAAAAGTCCGCTCTGTTCAACAGCCCCAACTAGAAAACCATATTCCTGGAGCCTGTTTGTTTCATATGTGTTTACAGTCATGTATACATTCTAGTGTTTTATGACTTTAAGCCCTGAAAAGGGCTAGTGGCCTCTCCCACTTCCGGGGCCGGGCTGACCAGTGTCCAGTGCGGACACTTTTGCCTCGGCGCGTGGGCCTATTGAGATATGAAGGTTTCTAAAATAAAAGGAAATACATTAGGGATGTGCAAAGTAGACGGACCGGGTAGAAACACACTCACACAGCATATCAGATGATGAAATTGGCAGATTAAATGGTCGACCGAGTGGAGCATTTGTAGAAATTAACTGTGTTGTTTGAATATTTAGATCTATAATTGTTATTGCTCACAGTTTATATTTTGTACCTTATCCACCTAGACCGTCGGCATTACTGATCTAGGCTCGGAGCTATATATTCATCTATTAAAATAATATATTGTGCATCTTTATACGAGATTAGCAATAATATCCTAGCAATTATACTGACAAGATTTGTTTAGGAAAGACTTTTATTAAGTGAGATGGTGGAGTAGATTATACCTATAGGTTATTTAAATAATCATCTTGGAGTTCTGCATTTTGGAAAAAATGGAGAAACATGCATACATATGAACATGTCTACCTAGCGCTCCGGTGGCCTAGTGGTTAGAGCTTCCGCCTCTCATGCAAGGGGTCGTTGGTTCGATCCCAGATTGAGTCAGATTTACAAAAATGGTATTAACAACTGCCTCCCTTGGCGCTCAACATTAGTTTTAGAACTGGTCGGCCTGGTGTCAGGATAATGTGACTGGGTGTAACATCATGCTATATGTCTATGGTATGACGCTCCAGTGCTAGACATCACTATAAACTGCCATGTACTATTAACAAGCCCTTGGAAATCTAAATCCAAACTCTAATTGGAGCTTCAAGAGATTATAAAGGACGATGGACGTGCAGACGGACCAGTTCACAAACACACAGCTGCCGTGACAAAACAAATATAACTGATTTTTCCACACAAGCAGGTATTGTGAATGCATTAATCACAAATTTAATAATGATGGACACTTACACAATGTAGAAGAATACTGTGGGGCTTTCCTTCTAAATCACCGACAGAGAAGGCTTGGCTTACATGACAAAGCAAAGCATATTTTTATCTATCACATCGACCTTTGCGCTTCGTAACTTCGCGAGTAGTATTTTATTTTAATTGTAATAAATACCCTTATAACAAACATCTACAGTTACAACTTACCTCAAATGCTTAAATAGTTCGCCTCCGACCTACAGCAATCTATCCACAATAAACGCATCCAGTCAAAACGAGTCACCCAGATGACAAATTCGTCATTTTAAATCTCCATATATTAAATCGAAAACTCGGATTAGTAAATCGAGATCTCGGAATAGTAAACCGAGATATCGGATTCGTAAACCGAGATCTCGGATTAGTAAACCATCATCTCGGATTAGTAAAGCTAGATCTCGGATTACTAAATGCAGATCTTGGATTAGTAAACCGAGATCTCAGATTACTAAATGGAGATCTCGGAAAAGTAAACCGAGATCTCAGATTAGTAAACCGAGATCTGGGATTAGTAAATCGAGATCTCGGGTTAGTAAACCAAGATCTCGGATTAGTAAACCGAGATCTCGGATTAAAAATGCAGTGTGTCCCTTCATGGGCTCAGCAAGTTTTTCATGTAAAACACTATAAATAAATAAAAGGATATTCACGACAGGAAGACCACCTTTAACATCTTCAAATCGTCAAAGTCAAGTTTGTTGTCCTTATTTGACATACTTTGAAAAAATCATCAACATGATCGAAAATGTAATTTTAGTGGTTCTAGGTCAAAGGGGTACTTTTGACTTAAAAGTAGCACCAGTTTTTGACTGTATCAAGTAAATTGTAATGATGATTGTTTCTACGTTCAACCAGTTTGAAGCACTTGACAGAAGTGTTAGATTTGTTTTTCCTCAAACGCTGGACCTACATCATTTTTTGTAACCAAAATTGCAACCAGATATTCCTTCACAAACTATGTTATGCTCGTTTTCACTTTTTATTATTCATGCTGACAATCCATTGTATGACCATGTTAATAGATGGACACAAGTATTCCATTTTGTTAACCCTGTGTTACATCATTATGAATGACATAATTTTTTTAGATATGCTTTACTTCGCTTAGTAATAGTTTAAATGCTGCATATATTGCACTGATAATTTACACATGTATCACATTGATAATTTATACATGAAACCTGAATCACATTGATTTTTTATACATGAAACCTGTATCACATTGATAATGTATTCATGTAACCTGTATCACATTGATAATTTATACACGAAACCTGTATTACATGGATAATTTGTACATGAAACCTGTATCATATTGATAATGTATTCATGTAACCTGTATCATATTGATAATTTATACACGAAACCTGTATCACATGGATATTTTGTATATGAAACCTGTATAATATTGATAATGTATTCATGTAACCTGTATCACACTGATAATTTATAGATGTAACTTGTATCACATTGATAATTTATAGATGTAATCTTTATCACATTGACATTTTATGATAATTTATTCATGTCACTTGTATCACTGATACTTTGTGCCTGTTACATGTATCATAATGATATTTTATAAGTTACATGTATTACAACTTGAAGGTAACGTGTGTTGTTCCTAAATGAGTTGCCTTGGAAAACTTAAACAGTGACAATCCATAAATAACACTCAAGCAAGACATCGGTGTCAAAGTAACATACTATGATAAATTACAATAGATTAAAGCTGGTGTATAAAGGAACCAGTAATATATAGTCGGCAATTGCTGTAATTAAATTTTCTTGTTTGCTAATTAACTTTGTTTACCACAGGTACAAGTTAACTGGTGAGTAGGAAATGAACATATCTTTTATTCGGTGTGGATTTATATTTGTGAGTCTTCTCGTTTAAAATAAAGAACAAGTAAATACACAAACCTTTCTGCGAAAATTTGCATTACAACAAAACATGAAGTGTAATATATACGTAACAATGTTTCATATGATGATCGCATAGAAATCGTCCATTTGCATATTAACTGATACAAGTGGAAAACATGTAAAATTTCAAGCATTACGCGTGAGACACGTAAATTTATAAAATCCCGTTTAAATACACATCCCGAATTTGTTCATGCATTCTGAAAAAGTTGTTGCACGCGTTTCCAACATGTTAAACAGATCACTACAAATTGTGAATATTGTTTTTATATATTTGTTTTTAATACGTATACTGTAAATGTTAGGTTCTGAAATAACCGATTTTGTTGGTGTGGTGTTTATAATTTTAACGTAGCTTTTAACAATTGTTCAGTCATATCGCTACGATGTCTGCAGTGTTGCAGTTTATAGTGATGTCTAGCACTGGGGCATCATGCCGCAGACATGTAGCATGATGTCCCACCCAGTCGTATTATCCTGACACCAGGCCGACCAGTCCTAACACTAACTTCTTATAAGATTTTGATATGACTCGACCGGGGATCGAACCCACGATCTTCCGCATTCGAGGCGGACGCTCTAACCACTAGGCCACCGGAGCGGTTTAGATTCTGTTAAATAATGTTTAGAAAATAGCCAGAGTATTAAATTGGCTTCTGATGTAACGATAATGTGCTCACAGCATGGGCTTCTCTCCCCACCTACCTCACCCCCTACGCCAAGCGGGACTTTTCTCCAGGTCTACGACCAGGGAATTGCCACCACTATTTCACTCCTGATACTAAAGGTCCCTTTACACTTCTGCAGATATTCTATAAGAGACTTATTATAAAATGCTTCAGTACATCACTGTCCTTGTTATAACACGGTTATGGATATGGAAAACGTCTAGTAGCTTGAATTACTTATATCAATGTATGGTTCCGATGAAGAGCGGTATAAAGAGGGAGAACTATGTACCTTATTTACTCACTTATACACCGGGTCCAGTCTCAATCTGCATAATGGGCCGACAAATCTGGGTCAAAGCAGTTTGTCATGAGTTATCAGAAAAGCAAACAAAATAAAAACTGCGTTGACGGCACGTACGCTACAGCAGTTGGGGGTCGATGTTGCTTGCAGTTGAAAAAGACTTATACGCGTATATTACGTACAAGTTTTGTTTCTTGGAAATAAATTTTTATACAATACATTTGTATTTGCTATCTTATGTACGTTTTATTAATGACCAAATACTCTGTTATTCTGCTGTTCGATTTATTATTTCATTATATTTTCTCCCTGTTGGTCTTTTGTATTGGTATAGGTTGTTGTTATTGTTGGGTTTAACGACATTTATCAGCACAGGATAGACCATAAGTGATGGCCAGTATAATTGGTCGAGGAACAACATGAGAAACCCTGGAAGAACCACCGAATCACAAGGAGCTACTTGCAAGCTCTTTCACGCACTCACGCTAGCGGAGATGAGATGGAAGTGATCAGGAACGGTAAGCGCTTCAGATCACTCGGCCACAATTGGCCCCCTTACCCCTTAGATAAGGTAGTGTGTATGTGTGTGTGTGTGTGTGTATGTGTGTGTGTGTGTGTCATTGGCAATGCGTTTGTTTACACAACACGTACCATACGTCAACTGACTCGTTATACACCACAAAAAGTCATGGAATTTTAAAAATAACCAAATACAAAAACCAATTGGCATACTATTATCACAATAATGGAGTAAATGTACATACATACATATCAACAGTTAAACAGTAGGTAAGAAGTTGACATTAATAAATATTATTTTGATACATTGAAATTTCTTCATTTTAATTTTAACCATTATTTACTCACAGTATAGAGAGAGAGAGAGAGAGAGAGAGAGAGAGAGAGAGAGAGAGAGAGAGAGAGAGAGAGAGAGAGAGAGAGAGAGAGAGAGAGAGAGAGAGAGAGAATTTCAGGGCTCGGAACAGATCCTGTGGAATTATTTTTGTTCATAATATCAAACATTTCTTCAAGTTTTGCTTATTCTAAGACTAATAAATATGCATTATTAATGTGTGTGTGTGTGTGTGTGTGTGTGTGATTTGGAGTTTTTGCGTAGCTTTAACAAGTTTTCAGTCATATCAATATGTTGCTGCAGTGTGTCAATTTATAGGGATGTCTTGCACCGGGTCATCAGGCTGCGGGCATGTAACATCATGTCCCACAAAGTCGCATTATCCTGACATCCTAACACTAACCTCTTAATGCAGAGTGTCTAGCGAGGCACTATTTAGTACCACATTTATAAGCCTTTGGTATGACTCGGTCGGGGATCATGTGTGATTGACGTTATGGACACTATAAATATGTCGGAAGGAATGTGTAGACATAGCAGTTACCGAACTATATTTATGTAGGTTAAATGGTGCATGTTAAGGTTTAATGTTTATGTCCAGGGGCAGGAGCCAGTTTTTATGTACAAATTTAATGCCGCAATCAGTGACATAGTACAAAAAAAATCATAAAAAAATCAAATACACAAGTGAGGTCAAGAATGTCCATATTTTGAGATACCTATATTAAAACAAAGCATAAAAATATTATCAACGTGACCAGAGAAGTCAGTGGCAGTTCATAGCAGAAGAAGTTTATGCACTCCAACCCCAAATTTATACCTGCAATTTTCATGTCCGAAGGTCATTTTTGACCACATGTGGTACTCCCAGTGCAAA